GAGGCACCAAAGAATTCCTGATATAAGGAAAACCAGGGCAGTCAAACCTGATTACATGTAGACCCAGGACCATACTTTGGCATAACCATGCAAAGAAATGCAGTTTCATGTCCGTTCCTGGAGGCACTGACCACTGAGAACCTCTGGTGCCCAAGGTGCCCTCCCTCAGTACTAAGAAGGAGGCACAGCCATTCAGGCAGGTTGCCCTCTGTCATCTACAGCTATACCCTGTTTCAGCTGTGGCCTGCTTTTACAGATCCTGGGTTGTGTCTTTTGTCCCTCCCCATCCACCAATCCACTTGTCTCTGTGTACAGCCAAATAGAGGTCACCTTGGGGGCCCACAACATAGAGGAACAAGAGGATACGCAGCAGGTCTTCCGTGTACAAAACGCGTTTCCCCACCCAGACTATAATCGGGAAAAATACATCAATGACATCATGCTGCTGAAGGTAAGGCACATGTCCTTGTCACTCTTGCTCTCCTCAAGAATGGTTGCCACTTCCACTGACACCCTGCCCCTGCCCTCTTCGCCATCATGTCCATCACACTATGCATACCCAGGAGCATACACTGAACTGGACTTCCTTACTTATTTTCCACCAGCTGGAGAAAAATGCCAAGCTGACTAAAGCTGTGCAGCTTCTCAACCTGCCCAAGGGCAGGAACCAGGTGAATCCAGGTACCCGGTGCCAGGTGGCTGGATGGGGAAATTTTACTCCAGAGGGAAGATACCCAGCAAAACTGCAGGAAGTGGAGATGATAGTGCTGAAGGACAAGAAGTGTGAGGAAATCTTTCCAAAGTATTATGATCGTGCTACTCAGATTTGTGTGGGAGACCCAAAGATTAAAAATTCTTTGCTTAAGGTAAGACAAGGCATCTGTAACAATTGGCTTTGTGGGAAAGAGTGTTTGGGATAGATCTAGTACCAGGAGACCCAAGCATCATGGATTCCTTCACCCCATGGGCTGTTATGTTTCTCCCAGAAAAGAGAAGAAGGGAGCAGTCTAAGCTGGGAGGTTCTAAAGCTGCTACAGTTTCACTAAGGGGCCTCTGTTGAAGGAAACCCCACTGGAAGCTTCAGTTTGCAAAACATGACATGAGCTCATGGCACAGGCATGAGAAAAAATTTTCCCTGGTGTGCAGGAATTATAAACTCCTCTGACAGGGAAGCCCTCATTGTCAATGAGCTCATCATCTGTTCTCATTGTCAGACTTGGTCATCAGCCTCCCTGGCCTATAATCAATGGTCCTCACTACTCTACAGGGGTGAGGTCCGGACCTGGGGATGAAGACAAAGGCTGGATCCAAGAGTGAAAATGTCTATAGTCAGAGCTCAGCAGCTAAGAGCCTGTACTTCCCTCAAATCTCTCACAAGCAGACCTTACAATCAGTACTGCATGAGAGGGCTTGTGATAATAAAAGTGAGAAGTAAAGTGGTGCCCTTTTTCACAGAGTCACTCCATTTACAGGGTGACTCCGGAGGCCCCCTGGTGTGTAATAATGTGGCACAGGGCATTGTCTCCTATGGACCAGATAATGGAAGAGCACTATGTGTCTTTACCCAAGTCTCATGCTTTCTACGCTGGATAAAGAAAACCATGAAACATAGCTGACAGCTCACAGCAAAGTAAATCCCCCCTATCAGAAATCATCTTACCTGAATCTGCATCTAGAATCACTCTAGAACAGATACCAGGAACTAAATAAATTTTTCATCTCAGTTGAAGGCTAGTTTTGTGTTTGCTCTCTTACTTTGGTTCATGGGGACCAACTCTGTGGTAAGCAGGACAGTGACACAGTTCTGATGATTTCTGCCTCCTCCACTCCTCCTCCACTCAACGAAATCCCCTCTCAAAACTGTTACCAAGCACCTCTTTATACACTTTAGCTTCTCCACGACCTCTCTTTTTGCAAGGGCTAAAGTTAAGCACCCACTGAAGAAAAAGGGAACATCTCTCTTCCTAAGGCTCCAGTGGAACATGTGACTTCCTTTGTGTCATATGTAGAGGGGAAGTGGGTGATTTCATGGGTCCTGGAGTTCACTCACTCACCACTGAGGTCACGACTGGGCCCCATCAGGTTCGGTAGAGGAAGGGTATTCCTGAGCAGGACATTTCTCTCCCACAGCTTTAGGGATGCACATGGAGTGCAGGGTAACCTGACTGACTCTTCCCCTTCACCTGAAATTTTCTTCTCCATTCTGCTCTAAGATCAAGGCTTACCTTAGCTTACAGCCACCTGGATGCCGATATTTATCCTTCCAAGAGTTGTCACTGTCTACCAACTACTCTCTTTAGGAGGCCACACTGATTTGATAATGTAACCTCTTCAAACTTCCCAATCTAGTACCAAAACCTGTCTCTCTTCACAAGTTAATTAAACCTTGGTTCAGAACTGGGTGGTGGCCTTTATTCTGCTTAGCTATTGTTCTGACTGGGCATAGGATCCCCTTCATGCCCAACAACTACATTCACTGGTTTAACTCTTTATTCATGGCATGAGTTTCACTGGACTTGGTAGATTGAAATTTTTTATTAGAATTCCAAGAGCCTTTCCTGGCTTTACAAATATAATCTCCTCCCTACTGTGACAAGACTGGAATTGTTTCTCTATTAGCGCATACAAAGTGCTAGGCCAGAGCCTGGGGATTATCTTATCTGGCAAGGCACTTGCCAGGCAATCACAATGTACTGAGTTCAGTCCTAAGTACAAAACAAAAAATAGTTCTAGGTTTTAGGTTCTATGATGAATATAATCATAGTTCCCAGTGAAGCTGGTATGGTCACAAGCTTTCCAAATAAACTCCCTCTCCATCCTCCAGATTGCCCCATGAGGCCTGTGTGGAAAATCTGTGAAATAAAATATCTTATTTATATTTCTTCTTACACTTTCTATCAACTTTATCACATGATACATTAAAATTGTATGAGATTTAAAAATGAACTTAGTCACACACTTTTCAGATAGGAAGTTACTCAATGATTCAAAAGAGGACCCCTAGGTGATAAGATAATGAGGCAGGCTTATTTTCATTTGTTTGAAAAGAAACAGATATACATGTTATCATACAAAATCCAATTACAGGAAACACACATATCCAGTCCAACTCCTGGGAACCATAATCCCTGTCAGTACTATAGTGCCCTCCTCTGAAGAATCAAACTTGAGTCTGGGAGGCCACCACAGAAGAAAATGGGGAAATATCTATAATATTTAGGCCACCATGTTTATTGATACATCCATTATATCTAATATTATCCAAGCTTCATTTTCTTGAGAAGTTCATAGCTTACAGAACACAAAGTGCATGATATTTTGTCTTTTGGAGCTGGGTTTACCTTGCTGAACATTCTCTCCACCTGGAACTGCACAGTCAGGTCTCTAATATGCCACAGTGCCTGGCAGAATTTGGCTCAATCTTAATGCCTCTATGTCCCAAATACACAAAATACTACATTCTTTTGTGGCACAGAGTTAAATCTCACTGTGAGATCATGTAATTCCCAAAGGCATGCCTTCTCCCATCTTGTTTACAAAGTAGGCTACATCACAGTCTCATAATTGTCTTGTGTAGCTTTACAAGGGAAAATCAGCTTCTGACTTGAGCCTGAAAACCAAAATTCCTGCACCTAATACCTACTGAAGTTCTGGCTCCTTCGTCAGGGAAAAAAATCCAAATCCACAAAGCAAAAAATAAAAAAATAATATTTAAAATGTTTCCCAGTCATATACATGAATACTTCTGCATTCTATTTAGTTTGGGGAAATGGGTTTGTAGTTTAAACTCCTTTGAAATGGATTACTGTAGATTGGTCCAAATACTATTCTAAAAGAAGAGAAAGAAACAGAGTCCCAAGAAAAGATAGTGATGACCGAATGTAATGCAAAAGTTAGGAGAGAGCTTGGACTGAGGCAGGTTCCCCAACCATCTGCTGACCAGCAGCCCTGGTCTTCTAATGCTCAGTCCATGTTTTCTCTCCATCTCCACAATCTTGAACTTTGCTGGTCTATTGGACTTACTTCATCAATAACAAGGCCACTGTCATCTGTTTACATCTGCCATGATGATAGGTGGATTATTGATCCTGATATCTAAGGGAAGATAGGAATCCCTGAATTGACCCTTAGTGACAGTGAATGAAAGTTAATGTAAGGCCATCACAGGGGTATCCTGACTTCACCAGGTTGCCTTGCTAGGACAACTGGGTTGAGATCTACCAATTTGTGACTTTTATTATCTGCAAGGAAAAGGAATGGAAGTTTGCATTTTGACATAGATGTGAACTGTTACCTCCATTTTCCTTGACATACTATCTAAGGTTTCTCATCTTCTTTTATCTACACATGTAGTTAGTAATAGGTATCTCCCACACTGGAGTTGTATATAACATATCTAAAGTAGCTGGTATATCCTCTCAAGCACAGTAAGAAAGGTATCCATATATATTCCCATTGCTTTCACCAAGTACTATATTTTTCCATGCCAGGATTTACTCAATCAAATGATACTTAAAAATTATTTCAAAAATTCTTTTCTTGAAGCTATTTATGGTGTTCTAAGAAATGTTATGGTATATATATATATAAAATTTGGAATCATTAAGTAAGGCTCATCAACAAAACCAACAATTTAATAATTCTGATACTTTATACTCAGAGCATCTGAAGTATGCACTTAGCAATTCTGAAATATACACTACTAAGTGAGATCAGTGTGATGTATACACACTACTAAGTATGTATACACACTACTGAGATTAACAGAAACACAAGCATCTCTTCACTTTTGTGACTCAGCAAATTATGTGAAGGCATAGGAAATTTCTCCAGCAGAGATCAGCAAGAGAGCAGCCTCAACCCTAAAAAAGAGGAACAGTTAATAGATTCACAGACAACACTGAACAATTCCCAATGAGAATCAGGGGTGGAATGATCTAGGCTCCGGAACTGTGAAATCTGAGTGCTAACATTCATTCCACACATGTCCTCAGAGAGTTTCAAGCCAGGACGAAGCTCCAGTTGACTGGCATCCCCTGTAAAAAAGGGAAATTGGGACGCTAAGACACACAGAGCCTCACCTTGTGATGATAGATACAGATGGGAGGTGTGTATTCACAAGCCAAGAAGTGAGAACTACTGCTGATGGAATGGCCTTAGATCAAGAATACCCAACCAAAAGCTCTTGTATTCAGAGGTGAGCATTTGGAAGACTTTTCAGGGATCATGAAATGCTAAATAATGAACATCTAAGCAAATACATTACTCATTGCAACAGAGTAAACAATGATTTATTATGTTTCAGTGAATTTTGATTCTCAAAGTTTTCTACTTTAGAAAAAATCCAGACTATTTGACATGATTTATGTCTGTGGCCCCCAAGCCTCATGAGTTTGCACTGTGCATTTCTGATGGTTCATTGTCTAGTGCTTTGATTGATGGTGTCATTGCTTCACCCATAGAGGGGTGGAGACAGGATGTGATGTAATGGCAGGAAGAAAGTGTCCCTTGCTCTCTTTGCAGGTTCCTGCTTGCTGTTTGCAGCCACCATGAACTGCAGCCCATCCATGCCCACCTGCCTTGGAGCCAACTGAGTGTGGACTGAAACCTCCAAAAAATGTAAAAAATAAACCTTTCCTTTCCCAACTTGGGCTTCAGCTATTTTGTCTCCACAACAAGTAAAATGTTACTAAGACATTATTCATATTTAAAGAAGGTATTCTAATCATTTTAAAAGTCTGAGGCTATGATGGTGGCAAAATAGGAAACTTACTATTCAACAGAATAACATACTGTCAATTTTCTTATGTGCTTAGGAGAAGTCTGGACTTTATCCCATATTCCAAGCCAGATTCACCAGCAAGTTTGCCACCTTGTTCTCTAAGGACAGATTTTAAGTCCACTGTAGACATTTATCAGCCTTTGAGGGAAGGACCAATCTACCTTTCCTCCTTGGCTCTAGCCTGCTAAGTAGTTGTTCACAATCTTCACCGAATGAGAAAAGACACAAGAGCTGTGAAAAAGAGCCATGCTTAGTACAGTTCAGGCACTAGGCATGTTCTGAGGTCTCTGCCCTTCTACTAGCTGCATGCACCACATGCTCAACTACCCCTACCTCTTGAGCTTTCTTCTTGCTGTGCCTTGTGACTCAGCCACAGAGCTGTTAGAGGTGACAGTGTGGTATTCACCAAAACCAATTCAGATAATGTTCATAACTCTCCCTAGAAGGATGACACCCACTGAAACCAGAGGAGCACATATCTAAGATATCAGCAAGGTCACAGGGCTTGTGGCTCATTCAAGGTGCTGCAGGGGCTCTGTCTGCTCTGACCTGGGCAGCCTTCCTGGGAAAATGACACCACTTTTACTCCTGTGGACAATTCTGCTGCCCTAGAGGCTGGAAGGTGAGTGGCCATACTTATTTCAGAGGTCTGAGCTTATCCCACAAAATCTTCACTACTGATTTTTTGTTACCTTCGGTCTGGAACTTTCTGCTGGGTCTCAACCAGGAGTTTTCTAACCACAGATCCAGTTTAAAACCCAGACTCACAAATCCAAAGCAGGCTGGACATTTCTGAGGGTATCAAAGGAGGGTGTTCTCAAATGGTTTAGTACATGTTATCCTCTCCACAGAATTTCCTGCATTATCCAGAAATGAGTTGTCAGAAAAACATTAAAAAACAAAAATCAAGAATACATAAAGCAGTGAATGTGAAGCAACAAAAGTAAGTATTTAAATCCTGTTACTCAAAACCAGAACAGGGCAGCTTAGACCAACAGCCTGTGGGGGGCGGGTGTCACAGACCTACTTGCACTTTCCAGTGCCCAACCACCCCAGTCCCAGCCCTGAAGAGAATCTCAGGGTGCAGCTAGACTCAGAGGTGTTATGATGACTGCATCCACTTTTCCATTACCCTGGCTCCACCTTAGGACTTTGCAGCTTCACTCTAATGATCTTTTCTACCTCTGCCTTGCTGGCTTCCCTTGTGGACCCTGCTTGGGGACTACTCCCTCCTCCTAAAATTTGATGGCCCTCTATGCCACCACAATGCACTGGCCCAGCAAGCACTGATGAAATGTTGATTAGACATCAGATATATACCCTAAAACAACTCTTGAGAACATAGAATGTGTTAGGCCTACATCATAAGGTATTGGAGAATCAAACCTCGTAATGATATAGGAAGATTGTTAGAAAGTGCCACCAATCCAGAAATTAACAGATGTTCAAACAGACTTGTAACATTCAGTGAGAAAACAGGAATGAAGGCAGCTGCCCAGTGTATTCTGAAACTGTACAGTCAGTCATCCCACTTCCAGGCATGTGTCCAAGGTAGGAAGTAGAAGACCAGCACTACTCTGACTTTCTCAGAACATTTCAGATTTAGAAAATGTCTGGCTCCAAGGCATGCAGCCTGCACACATAAAATGAGTACCCCCTTCAGGATATAGAGCACCCCAGATCCCACCCTCAACCCTCACTTTCCCCAGTCTTCTCTCTTGACGACACTGCTGCCAGCCACCCCATCTTCAGCTTTTCTTTCAGAGGAGATCATTAGGGATTATGTGGCAAAGCCCCTTTCCCATCTCTTTATGGCCTTTGTCCAGATTCTAAATGGACAGAAAATGAAGAGATGTGGTGGTGTCCTGGTGTGAAAGAAATTTGTACTGACAGCTGCCCACTGCAAGGGAAGTTGAGGAGGGACAACCAGCTCACATTTGGGGACTTCTGTCTTCTACAGGAACTGCAGTCTTAGGAATGCCTGGCTTTTACAAACCAATAAGAGCTCATCAGAAAGCAGGAAAGGAAGCAAGATCAAAAGTTTCAGCACAGTAATTGAATGTATGATAATTAACTATATCAAGCATTCTAAGATAAATAAATGATTCTGAGGCTGGAAAAATAAAAGGGAGATGAAGGAAGAGGAGAAAATAAAGAAACTGAATGTGTGGGGGTTGGGGATTTAGCTCAGTGGCATAAGGACCTGCCTTGAAAGCAGGTGGTTTTGAGTTCGATCCCCAGTAACGATAAAAAAAGAAAGAAAGACAAAAAGAAAGAAAGAAAGAAACAAACAAACTAATTGTGTTATACACCTGTACTAATCTCTTACAGTGGATGTAATCTTTGTGTATTGCAAACATGTAGGAATAAAAGTAAAAAAAAAAAAAAAAAACAAATATTTCTGCCTATTCTTGGCAAGTTAACTAGTTGGTGAGCTACTGTTTCAAAAATAAAAATGAATTTAAAAGGACTGAAAGCTTTAGCTCAGAGCAAGAAAAAGTTTCCCTACCCAAATGCCTTAAAGAAGGAAAGAAGACTTGGAAAATGAAAAGCTTAGAAATAAAAGAGGTAAGTTTTGGAATCAGACAGTGAGTGTTCAGAATATGTGACACAGGTGACAAGACAGCAATCACACTGCCAAGCAAAGCAGGTGTAAGCCTGCTCTGAATAGGTCCTCTGTGGTTTCACAACCTAAATCCATGCTCCTCTGTGTGCAGATCAATAAGTGTCATTCTGGGGGCCCACAACATCCAGAAACAAGAAAAGACCTAGCAGGTAATCCGTGTGAAGAGAGCCAATCCACACCCAGAACAGTCTCCTAAAACCTTCTCCAATGACATCATGCTGCTGCAGGTGAGGCAAAACTTTCTGCTACTCTATCTCTTCTCCTGCAGGGATCTTTCTCCCCGTGGGTCCCTGCTCTTTTCCTCCTTGCCCTCATGGGAATCACAGTATGTAGGTCCAGCAGGTATAGGGTCTAAGCTAGAGGCTAATTTAGACTATCATGCTTGTTCACCATCAGCTGGAGAGAAAGGCCAAGCAGACTACAGCTGTGCAGCCTCTCAGACTGCTTGAGGCCATGAGCCAAGATAATTCAGGAGACACATGCCTGGTGGCAGGCTGGAGAAAAATCAACTCATTGGATCCCCTAGCAAGCACACTGCAAGAGGTGGAGCTATCATTATAAGACGAACCAAAATGCCAATCTTCCATCCATGCCTACTCCACTCTCACTGAGATTTGTGTGGCAGACCCAGGGAAAACACAGACTGGTTTCAAGGTAAAATTTCCACTGCCTATAAACACAGAACCCTGGGAAACAGAAACTTGGTGGGGGAGATGACAGCGTCCATATCTCATGCTCTGAGTCCAGAGTTTGAAGGCCTGTCCTCTACAGCAATGCAGTGTTTAATTCATCCCCTGCATAGATAGGAGTAGAGGGTGGGGAAATAGCAGTAAACCGAATTCAGTGTAATCACTTGAGTATCTCAAGGATTGCGCAGAAAGGTTCAGGTAGGTTAATACTGGAAAGTAAAGTCAGGGTGAGGGTAGAGCCTCTGGTCTGAAGGAGGCAGCCAGACATACCCTTCCCTGACTGCATGCTCACAGCCCCCTGACAGAGGTCATCCACTGTGGTGAGGTTCAAAGAACAGCAACAGGAGGAGGTGTATTCCATGCTTTCCTTCTCTGTCCAGGAGGACTCTGGGGTCCCCTCGTCTGTAAGGACATGATCCAAGGCTTTTCTCCCATGGAAAAAAGGATGGGAATCCCCCAGGAGATTTCATGAAGGTCTCCCACTTCCTGCCTTGTATAAAGAAGACCATGGAGCACGTCTAATAGCAGGCACAAGATGGGCCTCCTCTGTGCCTCATCACCTTAACTGAGACATTAGAAATACTCCTATGGGCCGAGGCCACTGCCCAGTGACAATAGATTGATCTGAAGAATGACTGTCCCTGAAGTCCTATTTATTCCTTGATCCCCAATTAGTGTGAAGCTGCACTGCTGGCCATTCCTACTGTGGCTTCCTCTTTTCTTCCCAGGCCTCCGTCCTTCCTTATCTTCATTCCATACTATACCTCATTGATTGCTCCAACCCATAATGTTTAATGCTCAACTCTCCAATATTGCTTGCAGGACACACAGTAGTGAATCTCAGCATTAGGAGGTGTCATTTTTCACAGGGTCCCACAAACATGTACTTCACCTTTCAAATGTAAATCTCTGTGCTTTAGGAATGTCTAGCCATCTCTAAGCCAAGAACCTTCATGAGATTCCCCACAATTTGCCAGAGAATAGATCAGGGCAGTGGAGAGGGATAATCCTAGAGATGCAGGAACCAGGGCACTCACTTTCCTGTTTTAGTCCTTCTCACCAGTGGGACAGGATTCTCCCCATTCAGTGCTGTCTGCTGCTTAGAAGGCTGAGATGGCTCTCAAGAGGACCAGGTCCCACTTCGTACCCTGCCCTGAGCCAGGAGAAAGTTCAGTCCAGCTCTGACCTCACTGCCTGGCTTTTCCACACCAGCCCCTCTCTCTACCTGAGTGCCTCTGGCCACCAGCTGCTTTCCTTTCCAGCTCCCTGAAGACTTTCCAACTCTATGTGGATTCACTGCTATCAGCCAGTTCCAGAAAACTTGCAACTCTCCACTTCACCTGGATAGGTCTGGCTGCACCCTGTTCCAATCCAGCATTCTCCAAGACTCAGGCATCACCACTTGTGAAGTCAAGGCAGTCTCAGGTCTTTCAGTGTGGCCTGGTTTTGGAGTCCAGAGTCCCCCTCCTGGCAGGCATGGATTATTGCATCCTTTGAGTCAGCCAAGAGAAGCTAGGCAGGAAGGATCACTTATCCCTCCCCTGTATCAGCAAACACTCTTCTGATTTGTCTTTTTGTAGCAGGTATATAACAGGCTCTGGTGTCACCTTTGGAAATCTCTCAGGAGTAAGAAATTTCCTCTAAATATCTCTAACTTCTCTCCTTCCACCATCGCCAGTCAATTTACCCAAATAGACTTATATGGGAATCCACTAGAAATCTTACTTTGAAAAATAGTAAATTCTCTGTATTCTGTCTTGGTTGTGCATTACAGTGCCACATGTGTGATATTTGTGGTTCCAGAATTGTGTGATCCTGAAGAAGGCATACAGTGCTCATAGCCAGAGGTAGCCCATGTGTGGCCCCAGGAGACTGGGTTCATAGGTATGGAGGGGACAAGAGGCAGCCCAAGAAGGCTAAATATCAACCCACAATCCTCCAAGCTGCTGCACTTCAGATGTGAGACACTTGTGACCTGCATGATTTTATTTAGGATCCCCTGTCACTCAAATAGCTCTACTCCTGAGCTTTTGAAACAAAAAAAATCTCATGATAGTTATGCTTCATCAAGTGATTCCAAAATCAAAAAGATCCCCTCTTCCAAGAGTTGAATATCTTAGGCAATAATAGCAAAAATTGCCAAAGAGGATTGCATTGACTTTTGTTCACAAAGGAATCTACAGAGTGAAGAGTAACATTCATCAATACTTGGGAGAAAATTTTGGTGAGCTACTCTTGTAGCAGAGGGTTGATAGTCAACTATACAAAACTTCATAAAAGTTAATACCAAGAAAGTATCAAAATGGGTGTGGTGGTTCATGTCTATAATCTAAGCACTCAGAAAGTTTAGGCAAGAGAATTGCTGTGAGTCTGAGGCTAGTGTAGGCTATATAGTGAGTTCAAAGCTAGCCTGAGCTAGATAGAAGGACCCCCATCTCAAAAAAAAAAAAAAAATAATGCAAAACCAAACAAAACAAAAAGCCCGGTTGGTAATTGTGTACAGAATGGATACTTCCCCGAAAAGTACATACAAATGATGAAGAAGCACCAAAATTGGTTTCAATATCTTTAGACATGAGAGAACTAACACAAAACTACATTAAGAGTCCATTTTACTCCAGTCAATGATAATGAAAAAATAAATGCTTGTAAGGACTGGGTAAGAATATAAATTTGCACTATCACCTTGGAAATACATATTGTAGCTCATCCAAAAATAAAAGTATTATATACTGTAGAGATAATATAGATCGAGCATACCCTAGAGGTACTTGTACACTAGGCTTATTTCAGTGCAATTCACAAGAGGTAAGCCACAGAAATAGCCTTGGCCCTCATATGCTGATTAATAGATAAACACAATGTGGCATATATATACACTGGAGTATCACTGAGGCACAACGTCATGAGAAATGATTTCCTGAAAGTGGAGATCATCGTGTTAAGGAAAATAAGAGTCAGAATGACAAACATAGATGTCTATTCTTAAATGTGGAAAATAAATAAGATGACATAAAAGTAGAGGAGAGATGATTAAAGAAGAATATAGTCAAGGGGAATTAGTGGAGGAGGGAAATATTCAAAGTACTCTACATATATGTACCCATCAAGATAATACATGCAATAATAAAAAGATAGGTGTATCTCTGTTCACAGTGGTAAGTTGCACGGTGCAATTAAGGCTGACATGTCTCTTCGTTATCTTTGAATTTATCCTATATTCCTAACATTATAATTATTAAAGTTCTTAAAAATACTTTGTCAAAAAGATGCATTAAGTAAGATGATACATGGTAATATACCGCTGTGTTCTGTCAGAGATAAATGTTTACAGATAAAATTTAACCCTCTTGTTTAAAATATTCCCCCACAGTGTAAAATGAGTGTTTTTGATGAGCAGATTTCCGCTTGCACTCTCAATTATCCTGCTTTACACATTAAATTACACAGTAACCCTTAAGGAATGCAGGCTCCTTTCCCCAAAAGATGGATTCCAAGTTTCCCAATTTACCTGATACAGGGCTTGTTGTTTGAACTGAGTCTATAGGATCAGGCATGGGAGAATGCAATGGTTCAGGCCTGAAAGGTACCTGCATCTTTTTTACTCGCATGCATTTCCTACATATGTCTCACAGCATGTTTAACCTCAAAGGAGGCTAGGCAGGGCTGCACCTGCCTGAGAGTGGCTGGACAGTGTAGACATGTAGTTCACCTGTGTCCCTTAGAACAAAAGGAAATGATTTTTTCTAAGCTTCTAACATTTCTCTGTCACAGTGGTCCATAGTATTTGTCAATTATAAAAGATGACGCCCTTCCTTTTTTTTTCTTCTGAAGTGAATGCATTCTCATTATAGAAAATTTAAATAATGAAAAGTTGAAAATGAGACACATATTCTTGTACATATTTCTCTTTCACCCAACACACACACATGTGCACACACACACACACACACACACACACACACACACATACACACACACACACACACTTAATATCAACTTATACACATAGTATTGCAGTGTACATATTCCGCCTAACATGAAAGGCTACAAATTTCTCCAGGCCTTTAAAGAGCCTTCTAAAAACCACTTTTAGTGACCTGAGAGGGCATTATCACATGAATGTATCATCATCTATATTTCTCTTCTCCTATTGTTGAGGTTTTGGATTATCTAACCATTTTGACAAGAAGGTCTCAGGGCACATGTTTACCTCTTCTTCCTTTTTCCCGATACAGCAAGACTCTCTCTGGGGTGCAAATGATGGGCAGGCAGAACCAGTGGTGTGGAAAATTCCAAAGCAGCAGTGAGAATAAAAGCCAGCAATTGGACAGTGGTCTTGAACCTCTGAGAGCAGAGGCTTCTGCCCCTGCTCTACCATCCTTGGATCCCAGATCACCACCTCGGACCATGGACCTCCACCTTGGACCCCAGAACTCCACCTCAGACCTTGGACCTCCACCTTAGAGGGCAGTCACTTCTGCACCTGCCCTGATACCCTGGAAACTAAGACCTCCACCTAGAATGAGACCATTTCTGTGCCTGTCCTCCCACCCTCACATCCGGGATCTACACCTCGAAGAGTGGTCACCTCTTTGCCTGTCCTCCCACATTCGAGAACACTCTCACCTTCTGATCTTTTTTTTAAATTTTATTTAAGGAGAAAAGAAAAAATTCAGTGAAAGGGTACAAGTTATACAGATTTACAGAAAAAAATGAACATTAGGTAATCACTAGTTAGTGGATTACATATTGCCATCTTAGAAATAATTCTTCAAGTCACAAAACTAAAGCTTGTAGAGTGGACATTCCAACAATGATATTGCAAACAGGTCTGTTCAATGATCCAATAAAACTCTGTGATATCATTTTCTACCTTATACACTTAAATATACATGCAGTTATATAGTTTAGAGCACTTTCTTTTCCTCTCTTTTGTACAATGACTATTACACATTTTGGGTTTCATTGCTCCCACGGTTCTTTTTACTTTTTTGGAAGAGAGTAAAACCAAACGTGACATAACAGAACAGAATCGGTCAAGTCAAAAGGGTGGACATAATAGATAATGTAAAAACATAATACAAGGTGATCATCAATGGTTACCATAATGCTTCCCGCTATCTCTAATAGAATTGCCTATATCATTAGTTAAAATACAATTGAACAAAACAGTAAAGAACAAAACCGACACAACCAAAACACTGGAGACATTGTAGGTCTTCAAAAGTAGACAAAAGTCAATGAGAATGGGCATTATAATGAATCTCATTATCTTCACAGCTGATGCCTAAACTTTCGAACCTGATACTATCCAGCAAAACAGAATAGGGGAACATCAGTCAAAAACAAGATGGTGAGAGTAGTACAGGGCTGCAAATCGAGATAATAGAAAGTCAAAGTGGGTTACTATAATATATCCTGCTATTTTTCCCTTTAATTAAACGGATAAAAATAAAAAAGTAAATAATGCAGTGGAGATTGAGATAAAAGAGGGCATAACAGCGAAACAGCGCAGATCTAAAAATAACCATTTAAGCAGAATAGTGTTTCACCACCAGATAATCCCGACCCAAAAGGAGTTACCATATTGACTCTTTCCTTGAAATCCTTGAGTACAACTTCGTATACTTTTGATATACTGATTAAGTATATCAAAACAATGTAAAACCATTTAAGAGAATGACAGCATTACAGAATATTTAGAGTTGACTAACAGAAAATGAACAATGGTTTCTGTATAATCTCCTCGTCTTTAAAAGGTTTTTGCTTATACTATTGTACATAATAAAATCCAATAAGATACAACCTATTTAGACCATTGGAGACAGAGGAACAACTTAATGTGGCTGTTGATCTTCAGCTGCACTTCCTCCTCCCAGAACCTTGGACTTCATTGGATTAGCCTTGCTGGTTTAAAGAGAGACTCAGTAACCAAAAAGAGGACCTCATCAGTTTTCACCAGTATGTTAACTTTACCTCTGAATTAGAGGCCTTCAGGTCTTCAATTCAAAAGATCATGAATACCTAATTTGAAAATCTTTACTCATAAAGGATGGAAAATACAGAGGAAATGGATGATTTCAAGGAACATATGAACTACAAAATCTGAATCAGAAAGATTTCAATAACCCAATATCAGCTTTAGAATTTTAAAATGTGTTTAAAAACTTACCAACAAAAAAGTCTCTGTCCTGATTGACTCCTGGCTGAATTCTACAAGAAATTTAGAGAAGATTTAAGGCTAAAAATCCTCAAATGCGTTAATGAAACTGAGAGGGAAGCAATCCTCCCTACCTAATTCTGGGAGGCAAGTATTACTCTGATACTAAAACCAGAGAAAAACTCAACCAAAAAGAACTATAGTCCAGTCTCACTAATGAATGTTGATGCAAAGATTCTCAGTAATATACAGTGCAAATAGAAGGCAGCAAATTATCAAGAAGATTATACATCATGACCAGTGAGGTTTATCCCAGGTATACAGGGATGGTTTAACATATGCAAGTCAATGAATGTAATACACCACATCAACAGAGCCAAAAGCAAAAATTAAATGATTATCTCTATAGATGCAGAAAAAGCTTTCAATAAAATACAACTCTTGTTCATGATAAAAAAAAAAAAAAAAAACTCGGAAGAGATGGTGTCTACCTCAATCTGAAAAAGGACATCTATGACAAACCATCAGCCCACATTTTTCTAAATGGACAAAAACTGAAAGCTTTTACTCTAAAAACAGGAACAAGACAAGGATGTCCATTGTCAGCACTCCTATTCTAAATAGTCATGGAAATACTAGCCACGACAATCAGACAAGAGAGAGAAACTAAAAGGAATAAAGACAGGAAGTGAAGAAGTTAAATTATCACTATTTGCAGAAAATATGATACTCTACATAGAAGACCCAAAGAACTCCATTAAAAGACTACTAGAGGTAATAAATTATTTTAGCAATATGGATGGATACAAAGTCAATGCACAAAAATCAATAGCATTTTTCCACACACAAAAAAACTCAGAGAGATAAACTATGAAAATATTAACTTTCACAATAGCATCTAAAAAAATGGAATACTTAGGAGTCACAAGTGAGAATGTAAAAGACCTATGTGCTGAAAATTATTACTACTCTTAAAAAGGAGATGGAAAAGGGTAATAGAAAATGGAAGAAATTCCTTGGCCTTAGGAAGAACCAACATTGTGAAAATGGCCTTACTCCCTTAACTATGATACAGATTTATTGAAATCCCAATCAAAATACCATAAACATGCTTCATAGATCTAGAGAAAACACTCCTAAAATTCATTTGATAATATAAGAAATCCAGAATAGCAATGGCAATTCAGGACAACAAAGGCAAGGCAGGAGGCATCTAAATTGCTGACTTGAATCTATACTACAATGCCACAGTGAAAATATTATCATAGTACTGGCAAAGAAATAAACCTGAAGATCAGTAGAACAGATTAGAAGATGCAAACACAACTAGCAAAACCCTCAGCCATTTGATGTTTGACCAAGGTGCTAAGCATGCTCACTGAAAGGACAGCCTCTTTAATGAGTGTCCTTGAAAAAATTGGCTCTCCACATGCCAAAGACTGAAAGTAGACACACGCTTATCATCATGTACAAAACTAAAGTCAAAATGGATAAACTATCTAAATATTAAAACAGAAATGAGAAATCTACTGGAAGACAAGATAGGAAGAAGTCTTGGAGACATAGGGATAAGCAGAGTATACATGAACAAAATAAAAACTTCATAGGAAATACTTCAAAAAATCAACAACTGGGATCTCATATTATTGAAAAGTTTCTGTACTTTGAAAGAAATCACCAACAGGGTGAAAAGAAAACCCACAGAATGGGGAAGAATTTTACCCAGCAACTCCTCAGACAAATGACTTATATCCAGAACATATAAAGAATTATACTCAGGCTCTAAATTCAAAGCCCCTCTAAAAATGGGCTTCTGAGATGAACACACAGTTCTCAAATGAAGATACACAAGTGGCACATAAATACATGCAGAAATGTTCACTATCACTGGTCATTCAAGACATGCACATTAAAATAGCACTGAGATCTCATCTCACTCCATAAAGAATAGCTGCCATCCACAAAGCAACTGATAACAAATGTTGGCTAGGATGTGGGGAAAAATGAACACTGCTCCACTGTAGGTGGGCGTGTAGATTGGTGTAGTCACTGTGGAAATCCGTATGGAGATTTCTCAGACGACTAGAATTGGACGTTCCATTCAATCTAGCTACTCCAAGCCTGAGTATTTTCCCAGAAAAAATGAAAAATTCATGGCACAATGATATATGTGCACCATTGTTCAGAGCAGCACAATTTGTAATAGCTAAATCTTGGTAAGAACCAAAATGCCCATCAAACACATAGTGGATGAAAATGATGTGGTATTCATACTTATCAGCTATAAAAAAGGATGATCTCGAGACATTCATAGGTAAATGGAGACAACTTGCCTCTATCCTTATAAGTTCAATAAATAAAAATCATATTTATAAAAATCACATTGTGTCTCTAGTGTGAAATGTATTTAAAAATGTAGGAGTAATAAAACCCCAAATGTGTAATTGCTACTGTAAAGCAGACAGGAAAAGAAAATGCTCTAAATGATATAACTGCAGGTATTGTTAAGTGTGTAGGACTGATAACTATATTACTAAGTTTTGGATCATTGGGCAGAAGAGTTTGCAGTCTGATTTTAGAATGTCTACTTTGAACGTTTTAATTTTGTAACTTAAACAACTATTTCTAAGATAATGAACTGTAATTTATCAACTAGTATTTAATGTTTAGTTTTTTTTTCAGAAATTCTGTATTATTTTTACCCTTTGATTGGTTCTTTAATTTTCTCTTCAAATAAAATTTTAAATAAATAAACAAAAAAATTTTACTAGCAAAGAAAAGCCTAGAAAAGCCCACTGCAGAATTCCACCAAAAATTAAAAGGAGACTTAATGCCGACATTCCTCAAACTCTTCAATGAACTTGAAAGGGAAACGATTCTCCCTAACTCATTTGTGGAAGCGAGTATTACTCTAAAACCAAAACCACAGATAACCACCCAAAAAAAGAGAACTGCAGGTCAACCTTCCTAATGAACATACATGCAAAAATTTCTCAATGAAATACTGAGAAACAGAATAAAGGTAGACCCATGCCTATTACCATGTACTAAAGTCAAAATGGAAAACATATCTAAATATTAAAACAAAAAAATAAAACTGAATTTTCTGAAAGACAAAATAGATAGAAATCTTGAAGAGTTAAGTGCTAGGGTAGATAGAGAATTCATGAACAAAAATCAAACTGCACGGGATCCTTCCCAGAATCAAAAGCTGGATCCTTGTCTTATTAAAAAGTTTTTTGTGTTGAAAGAAATCTTCAGCAGAGTAAAGAAGAAACCCAAGAGTTTTGAAAAAATCTTAGTCAACTGTCTCTCAAAGAACATCAGTCCAGGACATATAAAGAATTTTAAAATTTCAGTCCCCTGACATTCAAATACCCTATCCAAAAATGGGAATCTGAGATGAATACACAGTTGTCTGATAAAGAAATACAAATGGCAAATAAATACATGAAAAAATGTTCATCATCATTTTTGTTAGACTAATGCACATTCAAACCACATTGAGGTTGCATATCACTCCAGAAACAATGGCCAGGATCAAGAAAACTACAAACAACAAATCCTGGAGAGTCTGTAGGTACAAGGTAGAGGAGAGTGGTACACCCATTATGGGTTTCAGTCTAGAGGTTCCCCTAAAAGCTGTGGTTAGAAGTCCCGTTTTACCCAAATATTCCACTTCTGGGCACCTTTCCAGAAGAAGTGAAAACATCAGGTCGCACTGATATGTGTGCATCCATGTTTATAGCAGCAAAATCTGTGTTAGCCAGATCTTGGAAACAACCTAGATGCCGATCAACTGAAGAATGGATAAAAAAGATGTGGTACTTTTCTACGAGGAGTACTACTCAGCTATAAAGAATGATCACATTGAGATATTTATAGGTAAACGAATGCAATTTGACACAATACTCACATGAAACAAATCAAACTCACATGTGTAAATACTGTACTATCTCCCTAGTGTAAGAGATGATTAGAGTATAAAAGATACAAAATCCTCAATAAATACAGTGATGGAGAAAGTATCTGGTCTAAGGAGAAAAAAGAGTATCTGAGAGAAAAGGAGGAAAAAGAAATGGGAAGGTAAAGTAAAAAAATATCTAAATTTGTATAAACACATAGGATAGCTAAGATGATTGTGATAAAAATTCTAGTAGTTCTTTGAACAAAACAGTTAACATTAATAGGAATGGAACAATTAGGCATGTTTGGGTCTGGTGATCTGAGGAACTCTTGTGAAGATCACAATACAAAGTAACAACCCTGATTATGCTCCTGTCACTTTGATGTGCAGGCCTATATCATCATTGTTTTGGGTACTTAGCTATCGTCATTTAATTGCATTTTTGTGTCTTTATTTTCTTGTAATTTGTTTTGTTTTGATTTTCCCACTAACAGAGAAAGGATAGTTGTACATCTAGAGGCTGATAGATGTCTAGAATTTCTCCTAAACTGTTTAAGAGAATCAATTATATTATGCAAGAAAGGATGAACAGATACTGCAGAAAAATAAACATGATGAAATCCACTGTTGACACCATACCATCATGCTGTGAAATCCAGTAAAGCTTTTGTTCTTTGTTCAGAGTGCTTTTCGTCTGTTTTCTGTTATTTAATTTCAACATAGGTGAAGGGATGGACAGCTCTATTTTGAAGAGAACAAGAGACATTATGGCAGTTTTTGTTGATTTTCTGTTGTCTTCTTTTGAAGGCCTGTAATGCCTAGATTACTCTTTTTCTATACGATTTATACTACATTGTTTTGTATGAATTCATTGTGATTGAAGATATGGACTACAATTTATAATGAAACAAGAGACATGCTAGCCATGGTAGATCTCCTACTGTCTTGCATTGAAATCTATTTCACTTACATTGTTTTCTTCTCATCTGCTTTGTTCTGTTTTGTTATGTTTTCTATTTCCATTTTTCAAAGAAAAGAACAATAATAATAATAATAATAAATTGTGGTGTATAGGTACAGTGGTACATTATTTGGCCATTAAGAGAGCCAAATCACGTTTTTGCAAAAATGATAAAACTGAAGGTGATCAAGTTAAATGAAAATATACATTTCAGAAAGACAAATATTGTATGTTTTCCCTAATATATGGAATGTAAACCATGACATGAAAGGAGTGGGAAGACTATTATTTGACGACAGACAAGAAATAAAGAGGAGCAAGAGAAAGTTGTAATCAAGGCACTATTTTGAATGGAAAAAGTTATTAAGTGTGTCATTGAGTTATTGTGATCCTGACATGAATTTATTGAGATAACAATGTACCCAGTACACTTCATTAAGTGAAAAATTAGCATGCAAAATCCTATACAGGAACATGATAAATTGTTTTATTTTAAAAAATATATTAATATAGAAATATGAAATGTTTGAGAATGGTATTCACTAGCTGTTTAATGACTCTGAAAAGGAGATGCCTAACACATTTTCTTTTTGGTTAAAAGTATTTCTGACCTGTGCCATTATAAAATGTTTTAAGAAGAAGGAGACAAAATGTGATGTTTTTTGATGTGATTGTAGCAATGTTTCATAGAGCATAGCTATCCCAAAACATGATGCTGTGCAACTTAAGTAAATTTGATTTTGTCAATTATATTCAATCAAATGAATTAAAATGAGTATATCTTCCAAAGGGATTAAACGGATATTCCTCATGGAAGGACTGTACGTGTCCTTCAATTGCTATTTTCTTAAAATCTGTACTATCTGTTACTTTTGCACCAATACTCGTATTCTGTGTGTATTTGTATTTTCATTCTACTTTTAACTTTTGCAATGTATTAAACATAACATGTGTTTATATTTTGCTTTTATCCCCACTCTGATTATCCTGGACTTTCACTGATTTATGAATTATTCTGAATGATAATTTATATAGTTATTGATATGATTATTTTTACATGCACTCTTACTTTACTTATATCAACTGTTCTATGAATCTTGACTGGCTTGTTTGTTACTTTGGGCTTATGTTTGTTTTAAAGAGCCTTTTTAATATTACAGCAAACGCTTCAATTTTTAAAAGCAATTTTAAGTTTATAGAAAACTAGAGAGGTAAATACAGAGATTTCACCGAAATCCCTGTTCCCACACATGTGCAATCTCCCTCATTACCAAAATTTCCCCTGATGCAACATTAGTGACAATTGACAATAATACAGTACAGTAATTCTACTATTGGGAGAACATCCTGCAAACTGAAATGAAAGTGCGGGCACAGGAGCACACACACACACACACAACAATACACACAGCATACACTGAGCTCTCAGCATAAAGATTATACTTTTAATACTGCTTAATATTATCAGAAATTAGAAATAGTTTGAATAATAACAAATTAGGAAGATAGAGCCATGATGTACCCACATAATATAATATTAAAAACGCCAGGCAGTATTTTTAGGAGCCCTAGGGAAAATGAGGATAAAAACACTAAGCCGTTATTTCCTACCTCACTCTTCCCAAAGAAAATCTCTAATTATAAAGAAAATGATTTAACGTCATAGGCTGGCAATGATTTATCAAAAAGCACGTACTTTAAACAGCTTGCATGTGAATAAACATCTATCCAGATTTATCAGATACCAATGAGAAATGCATACAGTAAGTGCAAATTAAAACCACACAATAAGATAGCAAACCTATTTCAATTGCATTTTCTCAGAAGACTGAGACAACTATTAAATGATATTCCTGAGAGCATTGTATGCACTAGGGCAAAACTGAGCAACTCACCAAGACACAAAAGGGAAATCACTGAAGTAAATGTGTTCAAAGGCTACCTGTAAGGGACAAAAGGAAAGCAGTCACCTGAAATGATGATAGAAGTTACTACATCATGATACCCATTTATGGTTAAGCAAGAAAAGAGCTTAAAAACTCTTGTGTGAAACAGGGCCTCCTTTATTCTTTTTCTGTCTCCTCTGCAATGAGGGTAAATAAAAGCCCAGGCAGGGTGCACATGATTTCCCCTGATAGGGCAAGTTAGGAATGCTGGAGAGCTAGGAAGCTGACACACTGCTTATTTCCCCCATGCCCAACTGTCTCTTAAGTCCATGGTCTTTACTAAACCAGTATGAAAATTTGGACCATTTACACCCAAGCATTTTTTTGTTTACTTTTTGGTCTACAGTATGTAAAGAGAAATGGTCGTGTGTTACACTTTAAAACTATAATATAGCTAATGTATATGAATATCAAAACATTTATATTTTTCTTTTCACTGTTTTAAGGGGGAAAATGCAAACATAAATCTAATGGTATCTTTGGCCTGATTCGTGCAACTAATACATCCATAAATGGTTCACTGAAAGAGGTTACAATTTTTAGTGAGTTTTCAGGAGGCTTCTCAGAAAATTTTGACATATTTTTATGCTATCTGTTCTTCATCCT